AGTCTAAACTCTGAGAAAGGCTTTTGTAAGCAAATACTTAAAACAATTATTTTTTGTTTTCCAGAGTGACATGAAGATGTTGAATTTTAACTGTTGCGTGGACAGTGGGTCATCTTTCGGATTCTTTCAATGGAAGACAGAAACCCCCTGTTCTCAACAAGGCTGAGGGGTGTCTAACCTTAGCAATTTAAGCTCATTGCAGAATTTATACAAACTTTTTTCATCCTAAAATAGCTGTTAAGTCAATAAATATCACATTATGACTGTAAAGTCAATAAATATCATGTTAATATTCTATCCAGACAAAGCCGAATCTATTTCGTAGCCCCTTGTCTTACACTGTATTAAAGGCAAACATAGAGGTTGAGCCTGAACACACATAGGAGGACAAATGCAAATGTGCTGAAGTTCACACAAACGAAGGAACGACCCCTTTCACATATGAAATCAAATTCTGCCTCCTTCTGCCTGGCTTGCACCTAACTCCTTCCTCATCATGTTGAACCTGATCCTCCTTACTCTTAAATCAAAGTATCTCTATCAAAATTAAGGGAACTACTCCTGATATATACTAATATCCACTATTAGAAATTAATAATTAAACATCCTGTTCAATAATTAGTAGTAAGAAAGCAAAATATGAGGAGGTTCAAGCCCATAATTTGATTGATAATAGAATAAACTATATCAGGCTGAATTAACATTATATTTTTTCCTTTAATAGAACCAATTGAGTCATTCACTGAAAATGCATTATAGACATTGGCATGTTTTCAAAAAAGATTTGAGTTTTTTTCCCATCATCCAGCCAGTTCTCTCCTCTGCTCTGTGACTTTGCCAAGTATTGAAAACGTCTGGGTTTTTCTATTAAAAAAAACTAGTGAGAGACTAACACTGAGGTTTAACTTGCTGTTTCAGATATACCCGATTATCTACAAAATAAAACATTAGGAATTAAGTATTTATCTCAGTAGCCCTAATTCAGGAATAATAATCATCAGCATCAAAATACAAACAAAGGAAACCACTACTATATACAAGCATTCCCTATGCCAAAGTGAGCCCAGACAGGATTTGAGGGAGGTTTACTGTGCGCTCTCAGGAAAGTGGGTGGTCCGCAGATACTCAAAACACAAACCCCACCATCCACAGCCCATGACTGAGTACTGGGATCTCTCCTCAAGAACTGAGTATTTACTCAGGACTAGCAACTGGTACAGTTGTACAGACAGTAAGGGCTGTAGAGAAAATACCATTATAAAAGCACCCGAACACCAGGAGCTGGGGAATGCACCCGTATGAAGAAATCTGAAATGAGGTTGTCTTGGGATTTTGCAGACACTGTGTCCCCTATGTAACACAACCCCCCGCTTCCCTTAGTCTCTGTTTTGCCAAGAGAAGCCCGACTGCAGGGCTGCAGGCTGACGGCCACAGAGGGGGATAAAACCCCCAGGCGCTTTCTGCCTTGACCACACTGATTATAGTCCGTTGATTCTGGGCATCCCAAGTCTTTGCAGTGGGAGCAGAGGATGCAGCAGTGTTCAGATGGGCAGAAAGGAATATGCAACAGCCTCTGGGAACAGAGTTTCAATATGCAGCCTTTTAAAACACACCAGGAGAGAACCAGCTATTTCTCCATGCAGAAGCCTGAATGTGTTTATCTGCAGCTCAGACACAGAATGAATCATCCTGGAAGCACATCCCCAGGCACCACAAACTGAATCCCGAAGGATTTTCCATTTGCCTTTGAAACGCTACCAAATGAAATGTCCAAAAAGGGCTTTAGGACACCAGCTGGAGTTGCAAGCAGCAGATGGTTTGATTGCTCTTTCTGGGCACACATGTGTGTATTTCCTGACTCTCAGAGATGTCTTCCTCCAGACATCAAATTTGAAACTTGATGCGACTTAATGCAGAAACCTCTTTGCATAAGAAAAGGACAGTGCTGGACAACCTGCGAGACAGACAGGGCTGGGACATCCTCCATCGCGCAGGAATGATGAGTGACCCCAGCCCCTGCTCCCAGGCTCTTCCTTCCTCTCCCCCTGCACCACAGCCTTGGCCGAGGAGTTCTCCAACCCCCTCCGGCACTCATAGTCCTGTGCAGTGCCTGCCCACGAAAACATGAATCAGGACCTCCTTTCTCAAAAAACATTTCAAAAACGTCTATTTCTGGCAGAGTGGGACGGTGGAGGGATTGCTGGAAACACTTGCCTCAGGGGCCAGTTGCTGCCTGGCTCCCATGCACCTCTCCTACCTTTCCACCACGGAAAAGTTTTTTTTTTTCTCTCCCTCCGGTTTTCATTTTAACTCTTCTTACCTTTCAATAAAGAAAACACACGGACCTCTCAGGAAATCTTCCACTATTCTAAAAGTTTGCACATGTCTACCTCACTGGTAGCGATATAAATCAACATCTCTAGAGCAGAAGGAACCAGATGATTTTAACTTTCATTTCCTAGCAAATCTCTAGAGATTCATCTTCCCTTCATATTGTTTTAACTCTGTCCTAAATTTACAAGTTTCCATTTCTCTCCTTCCCCCCCCCCCGCCCCAGCTTCCAGACCAAGTTCCACCTTGCAGTTAAAACCAGATACCTTTGCACATAGGAAAATATTTAGTACAGTAATTCTAGCTGGCTTGGTGTATCATTAAGTACTTGTACACCATACTGAGCAATAATTGACACTAGGAAAGATTTGAAACATCCATTGAAAAATAAAAACAGCAGAAACTTTAAATGCAGTTATAACTGTTTTAATATTCAAAAATGATATAATGATTTATTTTTTAAGTGTTAATGCAAATCTTAATTCTCCTCTAGGAACTACCTGTTCCTGAACATTTCCTCTAGGATAGTTTTCATTGAAAAAAATTGTACAAATAACTGGAGTTGAATGTTTATTCTGAGAAAA